TCAAGCCCTCAAGCCCTCAAGCCCTCAAGCCCTCAAGCCCTCAAGCCCTCAAGCCCTCAAGCCCTAAACCCTAAGCCCTAAGCCCTAAGCCCTAAACCCTGAACCCTAGACCCTAACCCAAACCCTCAACCCTAATCCCTAAACCCTACACCGCTATATGATGCCGCAAAGGCTTCAGAAGCTGCCCTTCGAGGCGTGCGCCCGCCAGGCGAGAGGGGGGCGGGGGTGGGAGGGGGGTGGCGGGTAGGGCTTAGGGTTTAGGGTTTAGGGTTTAGGGTTTAGGGTTTAGGGTTTAGGGTTTAGGGCTACTAAAGTTTCGGGCCTAGGGTTTGAGGTTGAGGATTTAGTGCTGTAGGGTTTGGGGTTTGAGGCTTTGGTTCAGGATCGATTTACCCGAAACCCTCAAGTCCTCTGAGGTCGTAGGCTTGAGGGAGGGGTTTAGGGTTTAGGGTTTAGGGTTTAGGGTTTAGGGTTTAGGGTTTAGGGTTTAGGGTTTAGGGTTTAGGGTTTAGGGTTTAGGGTTTAGGGCCACAGCTTGAATGAAACTTAGTTTTTGCAGCTTGACACCCTGAATCTTGGCATGCCTCAGCCCTGGAAGAAGGCCGATTCCCCAACTCATCCAGCCGCACCCGTGACCCAAACCCTAGTCCCGAAGCTCGAAGCCCAAAAAAACCTAAATCAGGAACCCTCAGCTTTGAACCCGACATCCCACAAACTCGATAGCCTGAAAATCTGTCAGTCCTCCTCAGTTGAGGATTTTGGATTTCGGAAATTCCCGAAGTGCCACAAGACCCAAGCCCCTACTTATAAAACCTCATCAAACCCTAGGCCCTAAACCCCAAAACCCCAAAACCCTAAAACCCTAAACCCCTAAACCCCTAAACCCCTAAACCCCTAAACCCCTAAACCCCTAAACCCCAAAACCCCTAAACCCCTAAACCCCAAAACCCCTAAACCTCTAAGCCCTAAACCTGCACAACTCCCAATCACCAGCCAGGAGGCTCCTCCCCGCGACGGCAGTCAGGGAGCATGCGCTTGGTCCAGCGATTAGCTCAGGAGGCGGCCTCCGCTGCTCCGGGTGTCTTACTCCTAAGCCCTAAAGCCTGTAACCCTCACGGCCTAAACTAAACCCCCCCCCCCCCCCCTACTCCCTAATACTAAATGCCCCCTAACACAATTTAGTCAGGTGCCTGGATTGAGGTCGATGCTATATACCTACAAAATGATTGGGGGCTAGACAGCCCTAAACCCCCTAGGCCTCCTTTTGAACGCCCTTTTTTCCATGCCCAAAGTCTGTTTAGCACGCCCTGCAATTGCTTGGATATTGAGGGAACCTCTTATCCAAGTGCTCGGGGCGCATCCTTAGGGGTTCCGAGTCTGATTCCCCTCTCAGACCTAAGCCCTAAAGCTAAACTCCAAAACCCAAGGCCTAGGCCACCCGAGTGGGGGAGTGGCGCTTAGGCCCCTCGACCTCTATGGCGCAAGCCGACCAACAGCCCCCCTGGCACTTTCGACGCCCTCGGGAACGGCCTCGTGATTATCGGTGACGGAAGTGTTGGAAGCAGGCAATTGGCTTGAGTTTAGGCCCAGGGTGTCTTGGACGGCGTGGGGTGGGAGAAATGTGTTCGATGGCCCTCCACAATCGGGCCAGAGCTGCTCTTCGCACCTGACGAGGCTTCCGAGCTTCTTCTGCATCCCAACCTTCTCAGCATCTGTGCCTTAATTATTACAGCAAACCCAAAACCCAAAACCCAAAACCCAAAACCCAAAACCCAAAACCCAAAACCCAAAACCCAAAACCCCAAACCCAAAACCCAAACCCTAAACCATAAATCCTAAACCCTAAATCCTAAACCCTAAACCCTAAACCCTCAGCCCTAAACCCCAAACCCTAAGCCCTGCACTTTCCGGCAGGTCAGCGCGAAGCAGCTGGCGGAGCTCCGCTCGTTCCGCCACCCGCCAGCCGTTGTTTGCCAGGTCTTGGAGGCGAGGGGGGCGCGGGGTGGTGCCCTCGGCGCCGTGTGAGCCCGAAGAGCTGCAGTTTCCCTAAACGAAAAAACCCTGAACCCTACACCCTAAACCCTAAACCCTGGACCCTCAACCCTAAACTATAAACCCTAAACCCTGAACCCTGTTCGACGTGGCGGAGATGGTTCTTGCGGCATAGTTAGGCGACTCTGAAATGAGGGCTGTGCTTCCTGAGGGTCACGCTGTTTCCATTCCTAGGACCGTGCTTACGTACCCTAAGCCCCAAACCCCAAACCCCAAACCCCAAACCCCAAACCCCAAACCCCAAACCCCAAACCCCAAACCCCAAACCCCAAACCCCAAACCCCAAACCCCAAACCCCAAACCCCAAACCCCAAACCCCAAACCCCAAACCCCAAAACCCCAAACCCCAAACCCCAAACCCCAAACCCTAAACCCCAAACCCCAAACAAACTCCAAACTCCAAACTCCAAACCCCAAACCCCAATCCCCAAACCCCAAACCCCAAATCCCAAACCCTAACCCTGGACCCTAAACCCCAACCTTTATGGGTTTCGGGCTCTTCCACCCACACCTGGGCGGACTGCAGCGTTGGCTGGAGCACAATTTTGCACCCACGGCGCCACAAGACCCGAAAGTACCGAGAACGAAAGATAGTGTGTCAGGGTTTAGGGTTGATTCCTCTTCGACATCCAAGCTGAAGCCCTCAATCACCCAAGCCCCGACCGCTGAATCCCAAGCCCTAAGAATTTTAAACCCCAACACCTATGCAAGACCAACCCGAGAACCCGATAACCCTATAACCCTGGAACCCTATATAGCCCCATACAACCCTATAGCCCCTGAATCCCAATAACCCTAAATCCCGAAACCCTGCACCCTAAGTCCTAGACTTTAAAGACCAAAACAGCCCCTGTCGTCCAAGAGCAGTCGGCCATGGACGCGAGCTGTAGGCAGGTGGCAGCACTGGGGAGCAAGGCGCCTGTGAACTCACCAGAGTTTAGGGAGGGCAAGAGGGCTTAGGGTTAGAGGGTTTAGGGCTTAGTGTTTTAGTGGGGTAGTAGGGTAATAGGTAATAAGGTAACAGGGTCATAGGGTGATTGGGAAATAGGGCCATAGGGTAATAGGGTAATACGGAAATAGGGGATGGGGTTTATGGGACATTGGATTTAGGGCGTCTTTGGGCATAGTAGGTACGTGTATGACGGGGGAGTGCATGCGGGGGGACGCGATGTGGCACCCGATTTACCCTCTACAGCCCCTAAATCTCCTGTAATTACGCCCTGGAAGCCTTATCCGCGAAAACCTAAACCTAACCCTACCCTAAACCCCTAAACCCCTAAACCCCTAAACCCCTAAACCCCTAAACCCCTAAACCCCTAAACCCCTAAACCCCTAAACCCCTAAACCCCTAAACCGCTAAACCCCTAAACCCCTAAACCCCTAAACCCCTAAACCCCTAAACCCCTAAACCCCTAAACCCCTAAACCCCTAAACCCCTAAACCCCTAAACCCCTAAACCCCTAAACCCCTAAACCCCTAAACCCCTAAACCCCTAGACCCCTAAACCCCTAAACCCCTAAACCCCTAAACCCCTAAACCCCTAAACCCCTAAACCCCTAAACCCCTAAACCCCTAAACCCCTAAACCCTTAAACCCCTAAACCCCTAAACCCCTAAACCCCTAAACCCCTAAACCCCTAAACCCCTAAACCCCTAAACCCCTAAACCCTAAATCCCGAACCCACCCGAAAGTGGAAAGCCAAACGCGAGGGTGTCAACGAGTCAGGCGCTGCTACGACGCTTCCGGCCCCGACCGCTCTTTGCTGCAGCGGCGCCAAGAAGCTGGTTTATGAGGGCTTAAGGGTTTCGGGACTTTAGGGAATTAGGTTGAGGGTTTAGGGTTCGGGTTTGGGGGTTTAGGGTTTAGGGAGGGGTTTAGGGAGTATAGGGAGTCTAGGGAGCCTAGGGAGTTTAGGGAAGTTAGGGAGTTTTGGGAGGTTAGGGAGCTTAGGTCTAGGGCCTAAGGAGGCTAAGGGTTTGAGGGCTGAAGGGTTCAGGGGTTTCAGGGTTAAAGAGCTGGCAGGGTTGAAGGGTTTACCGCTGTAAGGCTTGGGGCGAATGGCCCTTCCCTAAACCCTAACCCGAATTCCTAAACCCTCTCCTTATGAGGGCAGTATAGGTACAGTTATTTTTTTGGGGGGTGTTTAAGCAAACAGTAGTTCAGGTACCTCTCGGCAAGCATGAACCTCGCATAAGGCCTGAACCCTAAAGTGTCAAACGCCGAGCAAAGACGAAGGTCTCAACCCTAAACCCTAGCCCTAAACCCCAGAACTAAACCCTAAACCCCGAACCCCGAAACCCTAAACTCGGTTCAGGGTTTAGGGTTTAGGGTATAGGGTTTAGGGTTCAGGGTTCAGGGTTCGGGGTAAACACTAAACCTGCCCGAAGCTTCCGGCCCAGGCGCTGGGCGTCTGCATCTGTTCTGCAGGGAATGCCCTCGCGGCCTTCTGCAGCGGAAGAAGCGCCGAGCCACGACAGGGACTCCTAGGAGACCTGGCGCAAAGAGGGGCCAACCAAGGGTTTAGGGTTTGGGGTTTGGGGTTTAGGGTTTAGGGTTTTAGGGTTTTGGGGTTTTGGGGTTTAGGGGTTTAGGGCTAGGGGTTTGGGGTTTGGGGTTTGGGGTTTGGGGTTTAGGGTTTAGGTTGTTTATCGGAGGCTTATAGTGGGTCAGTGGTTTTGGGGAGTGGCGTTTGCAGACTCTTATTGGCCTATATGAGCTCTTGAGATCTTACGGGCGAGTTTGGCGGGACATTGTTAGGGCTGCGATTTCCTTGGGGCTTCATCATGCCAAACTTGCCCAAACCTTTATGAAGTATAGGCTCATGAGCACCCCCAAGCTTGTACCCAAAAACCCTGAACCCAAAACCCTCAACTCCAAACCCCAAACCCAAACCCTACCCCCCCCCCCCTCCATCCCCCCCCTAACCCCCACCAAAACCTTCTGGCAGCATGGCAAGCCGAGGCCGAGAGGCCTACCGGCCAAGGCAGAAGGACACCGACTTCTTTCGGCGGCCGCTCCGCCCTTCGCGATTCGAGGACCCCTTCTAGAAAGGTGTTGAGGTGTAGGCAGAGAGAGAGAGAGAGAGAGAGAGAGAGAGAGAGAGGAGAGGGAGAGGGAGAGGGAGAAGGGAAGGGGGAGAAGGAGGGAGAAGCGGAGGGAGGGGGCGGGGCAGAAGTGACTTTAAGAGGAGATTGGAGGGGCTTCCTGAAGTTCACCCTCCCCAACACCGCACTCACCCCAAAACCCCAAGCCCCCTTGTCAGGGTGGCCCGGAGACCGAGGGCCCTGGCCGCGGAGAGTGGCAAGGCCTGGCGGGTGCTTGGAGGTCTGGGCGTTGACGTGTGAGTTCAGGATTCATTGACTTCCCTTCCCCGGAGGTGACGAGAACAAGTACACCATCAATTGGGGCGATCCGAATATCGGCAAGCGCCAAGCGGAATACAAGCCGCCTGAAGAACTGGACCCTGAGTGGTATGAGTCGGGCGACGACGGAGGTGACGGGCCTGACGAGGACGAACGACCTGCGCCCCGCCGTCGCGAGCGCCCGCGGCGGCGCCGTCCCCGCTCGCGCTTCAGGGAGGGCGGGCCTTCCGACGGCGCGTCCGTAGCGGCGGCGCCGCGGCTCCGCCCAAGGGAGCCCTGGCGGCCGCCAGTCTTCGAGCCCTTGGAGCCCCAAGGGCGCGGACGCGCGCAGGGCAGGGACTTCCCGAGCCGGGGGCGCCCTGCGCCTCGCGATGAGCGTCCGGGCCGAAGACCGGAGCGGCAGCCCAGGCAGCCCAGGCAGCAGCTGCGGAGGATCTCGCTGGAGCCTCCAGTTCGGCCGGTGAACTTGGAGGCCATGGCGGCCAAGGGCCTCCCGAAGATGAACCTCTACCAGCTCTCTGGCTTGCAGGGCTTCTCATTTTTTTAAGAAAGGGGTCTTTAGAGGGGTCAAGGATACAAGTCTTGCAGTGCCGAAACTGCTGCAAATGCCGAGATCTGTCCATGAAAAGGGCCCCTAAAAGGGCCGAACATGCTGTAATTACCGGAGGATGCTGAAGCAACCCGCGCCCTCCCAAGAGAAGCTGCGCACAAAACCGCTTTTGAGCGTGATCAAAGCATGGCATCGAACAGTGCCGAAAATGCACCGAGGATTCTGGAAGCATCCCCCCCCACCCCTCCCCCCAAAAAAAACAAGAGTCTGAAAGCGCGTAAGAGACGGCTTTTTCCGTCAAACGCACAAAAAGTCGAGTAATCGAGTTTTGTTGCCATTTTCCTGAGCACAAGTGTCCAGGCCAATTTTTACAAACGTGTGTAAATACCGACGTTTCCGACTGCACACAAGGCAAGGGACCTAACCGCCCTCCCACCCATCGAAAAGTGCCAAACTCGACAACCCTTCCACGGCGGCGAGAGCCATGCCCGTTATTCAGGCCCGTTGTGTTTTCGGCGTTAACAGACGCAACCCTAAACCCTAAACCCTAAACCCTAAACCCTAAACCCTAAACCCTAAACCCTAAACCCTAAACCCTAAACCCTAAACCCTAAACCCTAAACCCTAAGCCCTAAGCCCTAAGCCCTAAGCCCTAAGCCCTAAACCCTAAACCCTAAACCCTAAACCCTAAACCCTAAACCTTAACCCCTAAACGCATGGAGTACAGGCAATGTAAAAGCGCACGGCCTGGGGGGCTTCACGCCCGACACTCTCACATGACACACACCAAACCCATCTCAACCCTCAACCCTAAACCCTAAACCCTAAACCTTAAACCTTAAGCCTTAAACCCTAAAGCCGAAACCCGAAACCCTAAACCCGAAACCCTTTTCCCTATGTGCATGGAGACTGTGGTAGCTCGAGGCTGGATATGGACGAGTTTGACTACTACATCATCCGCGAGTTGGGTCAGCAGAAGCAGGCGCGGGTTAAGGGTTTAGGGTTTAGGGTTGAGGATTTCGGGAGTTTAGGGTTAGGGTTTCGGGTTTAGGGGGCTTTGTGTCGTTCTCCTTTGGGGTCGAGCTTGCAAACATTATTGAAATTACTGTATCTAGTTGTTTTGGGCTTTGAGTGGTTCAGGGTCTGGGGCTTCTCAGGCCCGTGTATTTTGTAAGGGTTCCTCAGGTCTCAACCCTAAACCCTACATCCGAAAGATCCGAAAACCTAAGCTCTAAGCCTTGCCGGCCCCAAGTCCCACGGGCTTCCGAAAACAGAGTTAGGGCTTAGGGTTTTTGGGTTTTAGGCTTTCGGGTCCCTTTGAGGACTCTGGTGTTTGGGAGGGATAGTCCGGGGACCTCTATTTTGGCAACCCCCTCCTTCGGCCATGGCGGGTGGTGGCCGCCGTTTTCTGGCAGTTATGCGCGAGTCTCTGCTTCACGCCTGCATCCCCTGCTTGGTACCTGCATGAGGGAGGGATCATGCGGGGAAGCGCTTCGAGTCTGCGAAGGGGGCTGTCTTGCCAATTGGCTATGCCAACCCTTGCCGGCTTTGCGGGCTTGGGTGAGCGGGTCCACCTTGCCTTGCTCTGCGTGGGGCCAGGACGTTTTCGGAGCCCTGCGCCCGTTTGCGTCTGAACCCTACTGGGAGCGGAGACAACACGGGTGCCCAGTGCCGTGCGCGGCAATGACTCTCACTCACTCTATTTAGGGAAATACCCCCAACTCCCACAGCTCAAAATCGTGCGTGCCTGAAGTCAAAGGTTCGGGGTTCAGGATTCGGGATTTCGGGGTTTAGGGTAGCCAGCTGCATTTAGGGACGTAGGATTGTAGTCTCGGCCCAGGTAGCGAAGGCGCTGTGGCAGTGGATCTACGAACATGGCGTGCAGGACATGCTTTTTGAAAGGTTGTGGCCGGGTATGCTGCTGGGAACCGAAGTGCCAATGTGCAAACCCAAAAGGGACCCTTGGTATCCCAGCGGTACCCTTTGCCTTAATTTTTGGTCCAGGGTTCCCGTATACAGTATCCAAGCCCCAAAAAAGGGAACCCTTACTATGACATGGCTCCTGGGGTTCCAAGGACCATAATCTTGAGATTGTCTGTATCCTGCTATTCTTCAGACTTCATGATTTCGGCTCTGGGTGTCTCGGGTTGTGTTTATGCTTAGCTTGCTTGCATGACTCGCAGGCGACTCACGCCGGCCTGCTGGCAAAGCTCAAGTCGCCTTCCCCGAAGTATCCATCATCTAGGGTTTAGGTTCTCAAGGTTTAGGGGGTTTAGGGTTTAAGTTTTAGGGTTTAGGGTTTAGGGTTCATGGCCTGTCCTTCCACCCTTTGGAGTGAGTTTTGAGCCTTAGGGGCCCTACCCCAAGATTACCCTGTATGGCCCAGCGTTGAAATTGAACAGTTCTTCCCAGAAATCCACCGCCGGCCTCTTTATTCCTAGGTTACTCTTGGGTCAAAGAGGTTTTTTTTTTTTTTTTTTTTTTTTTTTTTTTTTTTTTTAATAACCCTTTTATTCCTAGGCTACTCTTGGGTCTGGGTCTCATACTCCGGTGGCAGGACTTCATGGAGATGCATAACATCGCCCTTGGCGACCTGGCTCGTGCAGTTCTGGCTCACCCGAAAACCTAAACCCCCGAACCCTAAGCCCTAAACCCTAAACCCTAAACCTTAAACCCGAAACCCTAAACCCTAAACCTGAACCCTGAACCCTAAACCCTAAACCCTACACTTAAGAGCCTCCGGCTCAAGCCACCGACCCCGCAGGAGAACAAATTTAGGGTTTGGGGTTTGGTGGGTTTTTTGTTCACTCCTTTCATGGGCTGGTCAGCCATGCGGTACCTCTCAAAACCCGTATTATCATGAGTGAAGAGAGTGAACTGGGCGTGTTTTGTAAGGAATAGAAGAACGTAGTGAATGCAATGACGCACGAAAATCGCCCAGGATTGAACGGTTGATCGCTTACCTGTCATGAACTGTACAGTCGCGAAGTTTGGATGAACACGGCCCTCACTTCGTTCGCCATTAAAAGACTGTGAAGAGAAGTGAATCAGTGAGTTTACACGGAGCGAAGACTGAGCGATCGTGTGAAACGAAACTAATGAGCGAACGTGCGAAACAGACCAGGAAGCCTCAAGCCTCAAGCCCTCAAGCCCTCAAGCCCTCAAGCCCTCAAGCCCTCAAGCCCTCAAGCCCTCAAGCCCTCAAGCCCTCAAGCCCTCAAGCCCTCAAGCCCTCAAGCCCTCAAGCCCTCAAGCCCTCAAGCCCTCAAGCCCTCAAGCCCTCAACCCCTCAACCCCTCAACCCCTCAACCCCTCAACCCCTCAACCCCTCAACCCCTCAACCCCTCAACCCCTCAACCCCTCAACCCTCAACCCTCAACCTCAACCCTCAGCCCTCAAGGCTCCAGGCTCCAGGCTCAAGGCTCAAGGCTCCAGGCTCAAGGCTCAAGGCTCCAGGCTCCAGGCTCCAGGCTCAAGGCTCAAGCCTCAAGCGTCAAGCCTCAAGCCTCAAGCTTCAACCCATTCCAAGAGTTCAGGCCTCCGGCACTCCCTGGTAAAGCTGGCCTCGGCAGGCAAGGTGCATTTCGGGCTTCACGTTCATCTTTCCTTTGGCCCTATGCCCTTCAACCCTAAACCACGCATGGGGGTTTGGGGTTTAGGGTTTAGGGTTTAGAGTTTAGGGTTTAGGGTTTAGGACTGCTGCACAGCTGGTTCGCCTCTGTGATACAATCATCAGGCGCCAATCAACCCCTTTAAACCTCATCCGTAAAACGTTTAGGGTTTAGGGTTTGCAGGGTTACAGTATAGGCTACCAGAAGATTTGAACATCCTCTCAAGGGACTAAAGGAGAGAAACATATAAGGGGTTATTTGGGGGTTAGTTAGGGGCTACTTAGGACATACAAGGCACATAAAGGGGTTATATAGGGGAATAAAGAGTCCCTTCTAGGGGGATCCCCCCCGAGGTCTGGGGTACCTAGTGTAGGCTTGGAGGGTTGAGCCCTAAGCCCTAAGCCCTAAGCCCTAAGCCCTAAGCCCTAAACCCTAAACCCTAAACCCTAAACCCTAAAAGCCAAACCCACGACGAATAGGCGCGGACGACTGGAGGATCCTGGCTGAGCAGGCTGCTGGGCCAGTTTCGTTGTGAAGCATGGGGCTTGCCTACTCCCGAAGCCCAAGCCCCCCAGCTCCCTGGGCTTTGAACCCCTAAACCATAAACCCTAAACCCCAAACCCTAACCCTAACCCGCAAGCCCTACACCCTGAACCCTAAACCCTAAACCCCAAAACGCCTCAGCCTTAACCCCCTACACATGCGTGAAGGCGTTTCTTTTGGCGCGGGCTTTATGGGCCATGACTTAGGGTTCAGGGTGTTAGGGTTGAGGGTTTAGGCGGGAAAGCGCGGTGCCTGACCCTAAACCCTAAACCCTAAACCCTAAACCCTAAACCCTAAACCCTAAACCCTAAACCCTAAACCCTAAACCCTAAACCCTAAACCCTAAACCCTTAACCCTTAACCCTAAACCCTTAACCCTTAACCCTAACCTCTAAACCCTGAACCCTAAACCCCAAACTCTAAACCCCAAAACCCAAACCCAAACCCTATTTGCCTTAGACCCCCAAGTCCCAGAATCTTTTTCAACCGCTGAGGAGTCGAGCGACGGCACCGTCAAGGCCTTTAGCAGACGGTCCTAAACCCTAAACCCTAAACCCTAAATCCCAACCCTAAATCCCTGAACCCCAAACCCTAAACCCCTAAACCCCAAACGCTAAACCCTAAACCCTTGAACCCTAAACCCCTAACCCTAAACCCGACTTGTCCTGGATCCCAGCTCCTGGCACCCAAATCTCCAAAAGCCCTGGGCCACGCGTAAGCCCTAAACCCTCAACCATAAACCCGACACCCCTACGTTTTCAGGGTTCAGAGGTTCAGGCACGGGCTGTCTGGCTTTCCGACGGCTTTCTACACCCTCTTTAACTTAGTCAGCGTTTAAAATCA